TGAGGGCTTCGAGAGAAAGCCAGCCCCACCCAAAAGGGCCGCGGTGACCACCGGGGTGGGGGAGGGAGAGGAGGTGTTGGCTGGGCTCTTTCAGGCGCGCCTGGGGTCCACGAGGCGACAGGTGACAGAGGCTGGGCCGGGGTGTCCTATGTGGCACGGGATGGTGGGCAGTGGCCCCCCCGGAGCCGGCCTCAGGAGGCGTTCAGGAAGCAAACAGGGAGGGAGCAAACAGGCTCCCTCCCTGCACCCAGGCCTGTGGGGGTCCCTGTGCGCCGTGAGGGGGCAGGCAGGAGGGAAGAGCTGGGGGTGGGGCCCTGTTCCCCGCCCGGGGGAGGATGGAGGGTGGGGCCGGGCACCTGTCCAAGGGTATGGAGGGGTCCAGGAAGGTGGCCACCAGCTCCGAGGTGTGGTTCCGGGCTAGCAGGGTGATGGCGTGCAGGGTGACTTCCTTGGCTTGGGGGATGTGGACAGAGCAGAGCTGCAAGTGAATGGCTCGGCCCAGCTTGGCAACCTGTGCAGGGAGGCAGAGGATATAGGCGGGAGAGCTGGTCTGAGGGGGGAGGCCAGGCCCTGCCCGGGGAAGTCTGAGGGGAGGCACGTCCCCGCCCCGGATGCCTGGTCAGAAGGGGAGTCCCAGGCTGCGGGGAGAGAGGTCCCACCACCTTTCCCCCTGGCACGAGAGGCCCTCCAACTCTGTCCAAACATTGCCCAGTCACCGGAAGGCTCAGACACACCGGCCTCGTCACCTCCCGAGCAGGCCACTTGGGCACACGCTGTTCCGGGAGCCTGGAACGCCCCTCGCCTTCCACTTCCGGTGCCCTTGCTCACCCGCCTGGGGCTTCCCCATCTGCAGGACGCGTCATCAATCGTCCTTTTCCCGGGGGCCACCCCCACCCCACTGGGTGCACTTCCTCTGTTGTTCAGTCCTTATCTGTCCGTGTCTGCCCCGCCCATTGGACCGGGAACTTCTGGAAAGGTCTGTGCCTTCTCCTCCCCCATGTGCTGCGCCAGAGCCTGGAGCGGTTGTTCTATCAGCGCACGTGTGCCTCTCGAGCCTGCAAACACCACTCAGGGCCCCAGGACACCTGCTTGGGCCGTTCGTTCGTTCGTTCATTCATTCACTCACTCATTCATTCAGTGGAACTTGTCAGGGTGGGGTCTGTGGCTCCCCCATCGGGGCTGAGCTCGGGGACGCTGCCTTGGCCCAGAGACGCTGGCTTCAGGTGCTGGCTGCCGGGCGTCCCTCTGCCCCCAGACCCGTCCCGGCCCACCCTCAGCGGGTGCCCCGGCCCTCTCACCGTCTCCAGCTCGGCCCCGTGCTCCTGGATGGCGAGGAGCAGCATGTCGGCGGCCGCCTGCATGCGGAAGGAGCTGGGGGATCCCAGTCCGTCGATGGCTGTCCAGACGAGGTCGGTCAGCTCTGCCACCGTGAGATGCTTCATGACCTCCTGTACCGGCAGGAGCGCGGGCAGCCGTCACTGTGGGTCACGCGTGCCCAGGTGCCCGCTCCTGCCTTTGCTTTCCCTTTTCCTTTGCTTCAGGCCACTCGGGTTTCTGAGCACCCCGTAATTCTGAGCCCCTCTCCTCGGGGACCACACGTGATCACCTGCACATGTCTCTGAGCCAGCCACGGCCCGGGGGCAGGAAGGGAGAGAGTGATGCCCACGGTAGGGCAGAGGCAGGGCTCCCTTCCTCACTCAGACCCAGTGCTTGTCCTGGGACCTGCACGGCCCCGCCAGCCTCCTTTCCTCCCCTCCTCTGCCCTGTCCTCGCCTCGTGGGCCTCCTCAGCTGCCAGCCTCCGTCCCGCTGGGTGCTTGCTCCCCAGGCCAAGCCCCAGCCCTCCTTCCATGATTTTAACAAAGAGCACTTGAACTTCAGAGTTGTGAAGGGTCTTCAAGGTCGCCTGGGTCACCCCCTGGGCCCAGAGAGGCGCGTGGATGCCCTTACCACAGCACAGGCTGGCTCCAGAACCCAGGGCTCCCGTCCTGTGCTAGGGCCTCCCCAAGGGCCCAACTGGCCTCTGCCCGTGTTCTCCCAAGAGTGACTCTAAGTCCAGACCGTGAGCCGCTTGGGGTGATAAAGAGGCTCTGGAGGAAATGCAAGGTGGTGGGTGGGACCCCTGCTCCATAGCCTCAGACTATAGTCTCTGACAGCCCGAGGCTGGCCCAGGTGGAACCTTCCAGAAAGACTTCGAGCATTATTGCTCAATATGGTGGCCACCAGCCACACGTACCTATTTAAACTGAAACTTAATTAACATTGAAAACCTCAGTTCCTCAGCAGCACTAGCCACATTTCCAGTGCTCAGTACTGGGTACGTTGGACAGTGTGGACAGAGACACTTGTACCCTTTTGGAAAGTTCTACTGGAAGGCTGCGACTGGAGCGTCTGATAGAGGAAGATAGAATGCTGGTGACAGGGGCTGACAGAAAGGTTTGAAGTCTGAAAGGATGTTGAAGGAGGTAACATGTTTCTTTGCATGCTAGCCTATTTGGTGAAATGTCTGAAAGTCCGTTAGGATGTTTGTATTTTTATTGGATATAAAAATAAGTGTTAAATAACAGATGTTAGAATATTTATTAGAATCATTATTCTAAAGTTTTGGTAAAATGTCTGTGAGAATATTAGGATTAGCTGCTGGTTAGAAGGTTAAAATAATTTTAATAATTTTAATGGAATATTTGTAGCCATTACCAGCTGCGTGCAAACGCTTCTTCATTTGGTTCAACTTGATGGGTATCTGTCAAAGGCTGGCTCTACCACCAGGCCTCGCACTGAGCCCCGGCAAGACCCTGCCTCTGGCCTGGAGTGCTCAAGGTCTAACAGGGGGAGACCGATCGGTATGCCAAGGACAGGGGTCTTTGTCAGTCATGGGCTCAACACCAGGAAGGGACGAGGAAAGTCACCGCGTGGAGACATCACGGACTGCCCACCCAGAACATGAGGCTCCAGGAAACATGGCTTGTCGAGTTAACACCAGCACCCGGCCCACACTCAGTGCCTCAGACTCGCTCACGTTCAGAAGAGAACACAGATCAGGCAGAGGATGTCATAAAGTTACGGGACCTCCCTGGGGTGATGAGAAGGGCCTTGGGGGAGCTGCTGGGCTCCCCCAGGCTGCTGACCGAGAGGCTGACTGAGGTAGACGAGGTGACTGTGCAAGAAGAGACATGCTCTGCCTTCATGGGAAGAGGGTCTGGCTTTCAGAGGGTTGAGAGGCCCCCGGGAAAATGAGGAATTCAGGGATATTTCTGCAGGATTCTCATCCCGCAAAAGCCAGACTTACAGGGAAGGGTGCCATCTGGTGCCTCAGAGAACACCTGGGAGCTGTCCCGACACCACCATTTACCGGGTGCTCATGGTGGCCAGGACTTTACAATGCCAGCCTGCTCATTTTATGGAGAAAGCTGGGAGCTCAGAGAGGGGAGAGGGCTTGTCTAGGCTGCACAGCCGTGGGGGACAGAGCTGGGACTCAGGCCTGGGCTGCTGACCCCAGGGTCTGTCCCTGGTCTCTCCCTCCAGTCCCCCCTCCCCCAACTCCCAGGTCCCAGGCCAGGGGCCACGGACTTCTCCAAACACTCTCAGTTAACCACCAGAGACACAGGTGAGATCCCGGCCTTGGTTTTAATACTTACACCTGGCTCGGGGTCTGACCGCCCCCCCCCCCAGGGGTGCAGTAGGGCCACCCCAACAGCTGAAAGCCCTGTGGTGGGGGGTCGGAGCAGAGCACGGCCAGGCCTCCCCCCACCCGGACCTATCCACCATTCTAAGGGCTTTCACCTTGATGACTTGGGAGCTGCCAAGCTGGAAGATGTGGTCCTTCGGGAATGCCATCTCACGGGGGGTGGGGGGAGCTGTCTGCTGGTCTCCGCTCCTCCAGATGGGGGCCCCATCCTCGCTGGCCTGGGAGAGCTGCTTGGGGGCCTGCGCCTCCACGTTTGGAAGTTCCCTGGCTGGCCAGGGGCGGGATTGGGCGAGGGTGAGGGCGGGGCAGAGGTGGGCTGGGGTCTAGGTTGGGACAGGCAAGAGTTAGGGTGGGGTCGCGTGTAGCCAGGGTCAGGCCTGTGCCCTTATGGGGTCGGGAGTGTGAGTGGGCCTGGGGGCGGGGGGCATTCCAGGGCCGTGGCTGGGGTTAGAGGTGGGTTTGGGGGCAGATCTGGGATGGGCTGTGTTCAGCAGTGTGGGTGTGGTCTCAGCTGAGGCTGTGGTCAGGGTGGCCGTGGGTCCACCGTGGTGGCCCTCGGAGGCTCACCTCTCTGGCGCATCAGGAGCTGGTAGAGGTGGCCCACCCCTTCCAGGCTGGAGTGCCGGGTGGCCTTGTCAGGGTCCTGGCACAAAATCCCCAGCACGCCCACCAGCTGCCCAGTCCTCCTGAAGTCCTCTTTTGTCTGCAGCGAAAGTATGGGAACCACAGAATGCAGACCCTACCGTGGGGTCTCCCCTCTGCTGTGCACTCACCCCAGCTCGGCCAGCATCAGAATGCATCCCCTCCAACCATGTGGCAGGGCCGGGACTCAGCTCTCGGGACCCCAGGCCCAGGCTCTGCCCACCCAGTCGGGCCGCTATAGTCAACAGCTCAGGGCACAACTTAAGGGGCTGACCCCAAACTCAGAAACGAAGAGAAAGAATACTTTGATGCAATATTTCGAAAAGTCAAAATGAATGTAACAATTCCTGATGCACACAGTTTCAAAACTGTACCTAGAGACGGCCTGGCCCTGCATTACCACCACCTTACCTCATGGGGCTTCACTCTCCTGGCCCTAACCCCCACCCTGGTTTCAATAAAACTTTATTTATAACAACAGGCAGCCAGCCCACAGCTGCCGCCATTTGCTGAGTAGATTGCTTTAAAACACCACCTTATTTATCTTGATTGTGGGGGTGTTTTGGTGTCCGGGTAAATTTTGCACCCCAGGTCAGCGCCTCACTTGCCCCGGCCGCAGTCCGGGTCCTGGGTTGCAGAAATCGATTTTGAATGAACTGCAGTCCCCTTGAGCCCCTCTAGAGGGGTCCCCCTCACCCTGAGAATGAAGGAGGCGTCTGTGCAGGGAGCGCTCCCTCCCGTCCCCCCTGCCCCCCATGCCCACCTCTCCGCCTTCATTAGAAACACACGCCGGCCGGGCAACGTGCAGAGAAACTAATTTTCTCAACGTCCCACGAATCTACCTAAGGAATTAGTGCTGATTTTGGCTGATAAACGCAGAAGCACTCATTCCCTGACGGTGCCGACTTCATTCAGCCCAAGGGCTCCAGCGACAGATGGCGGTTAGACTGTGAGGCATGACCCGCTGGGGGTCGCGGTGGATGGCGACTGTTGCCGCAGTCACCACTGACCTGGACTGAGGCAGGGCGGCACCCCTCTGAGGACTCATTTCCTCCCATTTCATGGGTGAGACACTGAGGCTCAGGGCGTAGAGGAACCTGCCAGAGGCTTCAAGGCGCGTTGACAGGAGCCCAGCCTGCTGGGTCAGGGGTCCAGGCATCTGGGTTCAGAGCCCAGCTGGGAGGACCTGAGCAGGGGGCCCCAATCTCCGCCCCCAGCCTGTTCCCTGGTGTGCGTGGAAAGGGGGATTGCATGGCCGTGTTGTAGGGCGCTTAGGGATCCGCGCTGTCCTGGTGGCAGAGGTCCAGGGGGCCTGGAACCCCACGAGCCCGAGGAGGGTGGCCTGGTTGGGGCCGCAGAGGGGCCGTGGGGCACGGGGCCTGCGAGCTGGATACTCACATCCAGGTAGAGGTCGTGGCTCAGGAATCCGAGGAGGGCCACGCAGCTGTGCACAGCCCGCTGCCGCTCGTGTGTCTTCTCCGACGCCAGCCAGGTGTACATGTGCTGCGGGTGGGCAGGGGCAGAGAGGGGGTGCTGCAGCCGCGCACCCCCGCGTCCCCCGGCTCCGCGGGGGCCACCCCCTGCTCAGCCCTGGGCTCACCTCTCGGCTCAGGCCCCGCCCCCCAATCGGTTAGCTGGCCAGCAAGGCTCCGCCCTGCCCGGGACCCAGGCCACACCCACCCTGGCCGAGACCACGCCCGGTCCAGCCACGCCCCTCACCTCAGGCCCGCCTCCTCAGCAGGGCCCTGCCCACCCCCGACTCAGGCCTCGCCCACCCTGGTCCATGGCTCCGCCCCTTCCGCCTCCACCGCTCCCCAGGTCTTGCCCTCCCCTGTCCCTCTGCTCAGCCTCTCCTGACCCCTCTGCTCCAGACAGCTCTGCCAGAGAGGAGAGGTCGTTTCCTGCTCAAAGCCCCTGGAGGCCCCTGGGTTTGAACCCCTTTGCCGACACACACCCCTTTACAGAACAGTGCTTTTCTGTGCGCAACATAATTGCACGGAGTCACAAAGGGATGCAAACACATATTGAAACAGTTACCCTGAACAGTTTTAAGCCAAATCTGAGCCTCTTTGTTAAAGCGACGGATGCTTATAGTCAGTGATTCTGACGTCGGATGCAGGAAACGGTATTTGGAGATTCTGTGACCCAGCAATGTCCTATGACCACATCTGTGACTTCCATCGGTGGCAAACACAGCCACTCCCGGCACTGCTGTGGTTTGTCGCCAACATTGCCAGGGGGAGGGGACACACTACTTTCCCGGTGGGGGGGGGAAGGGGGTGAGTGAAAATGCAGACATTTCCCCCACCCCCGCCAGGCACGCACCTGACTTCCATCGGTGCACCCAGCTTGGGGGCCCCTGCTTCTGTGGCTCCCCTCGCCCCCACAAGGCCTCCAGGCTGGACCTAACCTAACCCTAACCCCCCTCCTCACCCCCAGCCGCCACCTTAGCGCCCTCCCCACGCTGCAGCCGTGCAGAATCTCTGTCTGTCCTGATCCTGGGCTCGCACAGGCTGCTCAGCCCTCGGCGGGGCCCTCTGCCTGCTGGGCCCTTCCCTTCCCTTCTCTAGCCCATGACTTCCTTGGTCCTCATTCAGGTGAAGTCCACTGGCCCTGACTTCCAACCCTCCCAGCTGAGCCAGTGTCCTATCTCTGGTTCCTCCCCTGCCCCTGGACTGTCCCTGCCTGTTGACTGGTCTCACTCCGGTCAAGGTGAGAGGGTGGGGGTGCTGGGCTTGTGAGAGCCCTCCTCACAGCTGGAGACATGGCTGCAGAACGAGGTCTCAGGGGAGGGAGGTCAGGTCCCAGCCTGCTTCCTCAGCAGCCCCCCTCAAGTGTGGCACTCAAGGCCCACTTCCCACCAGGTGCACCTGCCATCCTGCCCTTCGGTTCTCCCAAGCCGCTGTGATCCCTGAAAATGGACAGCCCTCAAGCCTCCAAGTTCATGGGCCACTTGCCACCTGGAGTTCAGACCCTGCCTCCTCCGGGCACCTTCCCTCGTCTATCCTCCGCCCGGCCTGTGCCGGCCCCGCCCCTGCACTGTGCCAGCCACCGCCCCTCACCGACAGCAGGAAGTGCAGCTCGTCGGCCGTAGGGTTCTGCATGATGAGGCTCTGCAGCATCTGGTCCAGGGCCTCCAAGGTCTTGTTGTAGAGGGTCTGTGCAGGGGGGTGGAGCAGGTCAGGGCAGCCGCCAGGCCCCGGCTGCAATTGCGGGCCAAGGCCTCCTGCAGGGCCCCAGTGCATTGGCCTCTGCATGGTAGTGGTGCCCCTTCCTGCACACCCCCGTGGCCAGGCTGCACACCACGTGCGTTCACACCACACCCAGGAAGGGCCCCGGCACAAGCCCCATTTGGGCAGCTGGGAGATTGGGCGGGGGCAGTCTGGGTCAGACCTGCCCAAGGTCACAGGTTTCTCTGTGGCCAAGGTAAGTTCCTTTGCAGCAGGGCTGGCTTCTCGGGCAAGCAACCTGCGCGAGACCTGGCACCCAGAAGGATCCTCGAGTGCTTGGTTTCCCGCTTTGCGGTCCCATCTTGAAATTCTTCCTAAGCTTCAAACAAGGGCCCGCATTTTCATTTTGCATTAGTTGGGGCAAATTACGCAGCTTGTCCTGCCTCCTGGGTCTCACACGAGACCCCCAATGTTTGCTGCTCGGCTCACCGGGCGTGCTCATGGAGGGAGCCAGCCAGAGAAAGTGCCCAGCCCGCCTCCTGTCAGAGCAGAGCCCTGGGCGCGGGCTGTCCACTCCCTGGGAGCCCTGGAGAACTCACTTCAGCTCTCTGAGCCCACCTTGGTCACGTGAGAACTGGTTGTGAGGTCAGCCCCACCTGCTGGGTGCTGATGCACATTGAATGGGAAGGAGCAGGAGCCCCCAGCCTACCTTCTGGGACCCGGCTAAGCTCCCTAGGTGAGCCAGCCATGACACTGTCATCTGGTAATGGGGGCACTTTAGGCTCCTGCAAGGTTGGAGTGGGGACAGGCCCTGGCCTTCTGGAGGGCTGCTGCTGTGGTGTTGTCCTGGGCCCAGGGCACCCCTTGCACTCTCCCCATCCAGAGTGCCTATCTGTCCCAGTCCAGTCTGGACCCGGCCAGAGGGCAGGAGTGGGGTTCTACCCCGACTCCCACACCAGACACTTCCATTTCTCTGAGCTGGTTTCCTCACCCTGTGGACAAGTGCTGCTGGGAAGGTGAGCTAACATACACACAGGGCCTGGCACAAAGCAGGTGCTCGGTTAACACCAGTTCCCTGCCCTTTAGGGTAAACACTCGGGCAGCAGGTGTTGGTGGTGCCCCAGGGGGATGGGTTTATGCCCTCTGCAGAGCCCATGAGGTGCGGAGGGGGGCATCTGGCCCAGTAAAGGATGGGCCTGCTGGGGCCTGGGTGGGGCGAGACCAATTAAGTAGTGAGACAGCCCAGGGCTGCTCTCTGGGCGGGCAGGGAGAGAGGTCACTTATACTCCTATTTGTAGAGCACCCTGTGCACCAGACATGGGACACCAGTGTCCCCTTTTATCTGGAGAATTAAGTACTGTTAGCTCCACACTTATCACCCCCATGTCACAGTTGGGCAAATGGAGGCTCAGAGAAGTTAAGAAACATGCTCAGGGTCCCCAGCCCTATCCTATGGGGGGGGTCAAAGGCTCTGCCATCTAGCCTGCACCCCCTCCAAAGCCACGAACAGCAGGCAGAGCGGGATGCCTGCCCAAGGGGCCCCTCTCATTGGAGGGGTACATGAGCCAGCTTCACACCTGTATGTTGGGTGGCTCCAGGAAGAGGCAGGTGTGTTTCTTCAGGACGTCCATCAGTGGCAGGGCGAACACACTGCGGAGGCAGACGGACAGAAGCCGTGATTTCCTCTTCAAGTCCAGGGGCGGCCTCAGTTTACTATTTAGAGGTAGAGGGCAGTGAGGGAGGGGTGTGGGGGCCGGTGATTGCAAAGGGGCCCCCAGCCAGAATAGACCAGATTTGACAAGCCCCGAGCAGCAGCCCCTCACCCAGTTCTGTCCTTGACCAGAGACTCAAATGTGCACTTCTGCCTTGCTGGCCTGCAGGGCCTCCTGGGCAGGTTGAATTCCAGGAGGCTTTGTAAGGGACTAGCATGGCCTGGTTGGGAGCAGATGCTTCATAAGCCCTGTACCTCAGGCTCCCCTTTACTGGACAGACTGGTCTCATCCCAGCCCTGGCTACACCCCTGGGACCTTCAGTGGCTCTGTTTGGGCAAATGATGCTAAACTTTCATTCTTTGAGGTGTGAATTAATCACAATAGCTATACTGTTTATTGAGAGCCTCTTACAGGCCTGAACTGGGGCCTGATCCTGGGTGGGGCTGGGGAACGTACCAGAGGCTGGAGATGATGTGAATGGTCTGCTGGCGAGTTGACGTGCACAGTGTGTCCTGGGGTTCCTTCTCCATCAAGACCTGTAGATCCACAGGTGAAGGCTGAGTGACTCAGGCCTGGGCTTATCACACTTCTGACACCAAGTCTCATCCCTGGCTGAAGAACCCAGTGCCTGGCACCCCATGGCCCACGGGATCATGGTCCGGCTTCCCACCCACCCACAGGGGCCTCTGTGGCCTGGCTGCACTTAGAGAACTAGAGCACAGCCTTTAGAGTGAGACAGGTCACGTCTGCACCCTGACCGCCACATACTGGCTGCACGACCTTGAGCAAGTCTCCACACTGCCCCAAGCTTTGCTTACTCTGTTACTTAAATAACAGAGTGTTGTTGCACACGTGTCAGGTGTGAAGCAAGGTGTGCAAAGCACAGTGTCTGAGTCACAGCAGGAGCTCAGTGAATGGGAGCTCAGTAAACTGTTATTTTATCATTACAGTTGTAATTGTCCAGCAGTTGTGTGTTTCCTCCACTACCCTGGGGTTCTGTAAGCCTGAAATCTCTAGTGAGCAGTGGTCTGAGCTGGGATGGTGCTAGCAGAGTGGATGGTGCTGGCCTTTCTGGGCCTCAGCCACATCAGCTGGGAGGTGGACACAACTGGCCGGCTCAGGGTCACTGAAGAACCAAGAGAAGTGGGGGGCATGGAGCGCTCCCAGGTGCCAGAGCCTATGAGGGGCTTGGACACACCCTAGAAATCCAACTTCTTTGCCCCTTTCCAACACCTGCTTCTTGTGGATGCTGCTGGCCCGAGGGAGGAGTCTCCTCCTTCTCATGGGTCCCCTTCCTCTGCCCCAGGACCCTGACTCACCATCAGACACTCGAGAAGCTCTGAGATCTGGGAGAACTCGTAGCTGTGGGCCCCCTCATCGCGGCTGATGGCCCCCACCAGCATGAAGATGGCGGTGAGGAAGCTCTGCTTCAAGGTCTCGTCCTGGCATGGGGGCATGGGGGTCAGGCCATGGAGCGGGGGATAGAGGGGGCACAGGACAGGCAGGAGAGCGCGCCACCATCACATGTGGCTGCAGGGCATTGCTGAGGGAGTACGGTAGAGATCTGCAGCTGGGCCACATAGGTAGGACTTTGAGGGGGGAGCTGTGTGGTTTTGTTTAAAAATGTGAATATGTTGACAACATGTCAAGGTCAGGAGTAAGAAGCCAATGTCTGGCCTCACTCGATGTGTGGCAACCCAGAGCCCAAAGATCTGAGGGATGCGATGGCCTGACCGGGCTGCCTGGTCCTCTTAGCCCCCTGGGGTGGACGCCCTGGGTGCAGAGTACAGAGTCAGCAGGCCGTCGTCCTGGGGAGGGGATGGGGCATCACCGGGCCTTCCAACGCCCCAGAGTGAAAGCCAAGGAGAACGTGGGGGTGGGGCCACCACGGAAGCCCTCGAAGCTTTGGGTGGGACGACGGGGTGAGTAGGTGGGACAACGAGGAGGCCAGGCCTGGCTCCTCCTGATTTCAGAGTCAGATAAGGGTGGGGAGGAGTGCCCCAAGGCCCTGGAAGGTCCTAGCATTCTCTGACCCAGGTTCTGGCGGGGCCTGGGCTGTGTCAAGGCTGGGCTCCAGAGGGGTGGCCCCGGGGAGCCATACCCAGGAGCTGTAGTGGAAGTAGAAGACCATCCGTGACAAGATGTTGTCCACCCACGGGAGGATGTGCGCCTTGGCCTTGACCGCCATCTGACCGTAGGCGAGGAGCATGGTGCTGCTGGCCCACCTCCACTTTGGGTCCTCTGATTTCTGACCCTGGTGGGGACAGACAAAGGGCGTCAGGGTCCCCCTGGCCCGCCCCCGGGGGAGCGGCGACAGGAAGTACTCTGCACCCTAGCGGGTACCGCGGGCAAGGGTTCTGAGGGGTTGCGAGTCTCAGTTTACCGTGAGAGGAAAATAGGGAGAGTGGAATCGTCTCTCCGGGGGGTTGGAACGGGACTGTGGGGTCACCCGAGGTGTGTGCGAGGCACTCGGCTCTCCCAGAACTGGCCAGGGTCCTAGCCCCTCACGCTGCCTGCCTTGGCGTAGCCCCCTCCCCCGGAGCCGGGGGCCCACTTCCCCTTTGGGCTGCTGGGGGCCCGGCAGGCCATGCCTCAACCTAGGGAGATGGTAATGGGGCTCTGGACCTTCGGACCCGAGGGAGGCCCAGAGAGTGGGGGGGGGGGGCATCTGAGACACCCTTCCGATGTCACCTGAGGACCACTTGCCTCCATTCCCTGTCAATGACTAGGCCCCCTCTGAGGGCTGGAGATATGGGTTCTAGTCCCTGCTCTGCCACCTGCCGGCTGTGGGGCCCGAGGAGGTGGCCGGCCCCCGCTGGGCTGTCTGTGCTACCTGTGACTCTTCCCCCATCTGTCCTGAGCTCCCTCATGCAGCCCCAGACACTGATTCTGCCCGCAGGAGTGACCAGGGGTGCAGCGAGGATGGTGGGGGGGGGGCATGCCGCCCATCAGCAGGGGCACAAGGTCGCCCTCTGGCCCTCGTCTCATGTTACAGGCAGGGCACGTGTCAAAAGGCCATTAATAAACACAGCGGCCAGCACAGCCACTGCGAGATGTCACCGGGGCACCTGCTGTGTGCCAGACATTTCAAAGCCACGTTTCCATCCCAATGGCTGGGAAGGGAGGAATTGTTATTCAAGAGGAGAAACTGAGGCACGTGGGTCACGCTGCAGGTGGCACTGGAGGCCAGGAGGCTTGGTCCAGAGCCTGTGCCCCTAACTATCCCCAGAGACCCTCTCGGACGCCCAGACCCGTGTAGAGGGTGGGGGTCCTGATGCCCAGCCCCTCGTTGAGGCCCCCAACCGCCCCAGAGCCAGAACCTTCAGGCAGAAGCTGTGAAGGCTCCATTTAACGGGTGTGCTCCGGCCAAACTGCTCTAGGACGGCCCAGACGTGGTCCAGGTGGCGGGTCGCGGCCAGCCCGACGGTGAGCGCGATACCCTACAGGTGCGGGGGAGCAGGGTCACCGGTGCCGGTCACAGGACCACGCCTGGACTCTCGCCTGGGGGTGTGGAAATTGAGGCCCAGAAAGGGAGGGGACTCGTCCAAGGTCACGGGGACCCGCTCCCCACCCCCCCCACCCCCCCGCCGCTCTTCAGGACATGCAGCTCTGGCCCAACCCTGTGAGGGCATCTTTTATGGGGGTGGGTGGGTGGTGTGGGAGGCAGGGGGGAGCAGTGATTCTCTGGAGGTCTGTAAACTCCCCCTGCCCCCACTAGCTCTGAGCCTGGGCCAGAGGAGGGAAGGAGGGTCCAGGAAATAGATGTTTGACAGAGGAGAGGACCTACCAAGTTATGGTAGGCTCAGGGTGTGACCAGGGTCAGGACTCAGGGTGTGAAAAGGATCAGGTGTCTTTGTCTGGCCTGACCAGGGCTCAGGGTACGAGCAGGGATCAGGCTAAGCTTGCGGTCAGGGTCAGGCGGCTGTGGGCTAGGCTGGGGGCCGGGTCCTCACCTCCCGCTGCTTGGGCCACTGGTGGGACGTGTCCAGGAGGGTTCTCAGGTGTGTCCTGACAGTGGTGGCATTGTCCTCGTTTTGAAGGATCAGCCCGTAGTAGATGAACAGAAAGGTCTGGGGGGAGGTTTGGCTTCTTGTCCTGGGTCTGACCCACCTCTGTCCACCCCGATGGCCTCCCTGGGCTCCTGTAACCGTCCTCACACCCCTGCTCTAGGACCCTCATGCCCCTGCCTAGTTTTGACGGGTTTTAACGGTGCCACATCAAATCCAGCTGCACAGGCCCCTGGCCCTTTGTTTCTTTCGGGTCTCAGTGTCCTTCTGGGGCCTTGGCCTTGCTTAGGTGGCATCCTATGGACAGAGTCCCTGGGGCTGCCTGGGGGGGGCGGGGGACACAGGGGGTGATCCACCTTCTCCGGGGGCTGTTCCTGATGTGTCTGGTCAGGCTTGGTGAGTGCCGACAACAGCTCCTTGGACCACTTGTCCATGTTCAGGAACTGGACGGACTTTCTCGCCATCTGTGAGCAGATAGGAGTGGGCAGGGCCGGAGTGGTCACTCCCTCCACCCCGCGGGCTGGGGCTGAGGCCTCCACCAGCCCCGGCCCGCCCTGGTCACTCAGAGCCCTGACTCCGTCATTCTCTTGCCTTTCTTTCTGAGTCTCCAGGGCCCGCCCTCTGATTTCCCTGAGATTCCCTTCCCTGGAGGTGTTCAAGGAGAGGCTGAAACCAGGAGCCTGCCCATGTCCCTGGCACCGGGCAGGGGCCCAGACGTCACAGATGCTCAGTGAGCGTCAGGTGAAGGCGGCCCGGCCCGAGTGTGGGTGCCAGGCCGTCTCCCGGCACCTGGAACTGTGCCTGGCATGTAGTCGATGCTCCAGTAAAATGGTTTTGAATGAATGTGGGATCAGAGAAACGAAGGAGTGTGGCTTCTAAATATAAAGTCCTAGAAGTTTTGCTCTAACATATGACGACTACAAGATTTCTTTATTTCGTTGTTCCCAGATCCCACAGTTCAAGTCCGAGATTTTGATCCCCAGGTCCTTTGGGGCGGGGGTACCCCTTCTAGATATGATCCCAAGCCTCCAGATCTTTATAGAAAAAACGACTGATGGGTGTGAAGGTAAACGTTTTCCGAAGTTTGTTCAGCAAAACCACCATAAATTCGGTTGAAAGATGCAGTAAATTGTGTTGGCTTGTGTTTTTGTTTCCTACAACCTCCTGCCAAGGGTTAATATCGATGATAACGAGCACTTCATAAGCTAGTAAGAAAAAGGCAACCGTCCGCTTAGAAATAGTGAAAGCACACACACGTGACAGGCTATCACCTCAGCCTTGCTAATATCTGAGGAACGGAAATTAAGATGCTATGAGACCGGCAAAAAATAAACTTGCTGGATGTCAGCAAGGAAGTGTCCTTCGGTGGGAAGGTGAGGGATCTCTCTCTCTCTCTATTTTTTTTGGTGAAGCCTTTGGCAGGCATCAATTAAAATTTAAAACGTGTGTACATTTCCCCAAGGGACTCCCTTTCTAGGAATTTATCCTAGAGGAGCACTCATAGGTGCCTTGGTTGGAGCACAAGGGTATCCATTCTGCCGCGGGGCTGGATGCAAGCCCGCCGAGAGCGCCCCCTGCAGGTGGGACCTTTAGCGCCCTCTCTGGCGATGCTGGGGAGGGTTGGGTAGCGTAGGGTAGGGCAGGGTGGGGCGAGGCGGGGCGGGGGGCCCTGAAATGGCCTGAAATGGACATTGCTCCCCGCTCTCGTCTGCCCGGATTTTGCCCCGAGTCTGGCCTGTTTGTAACGGGACCTACTGGCTCCCCACCCTCCCTGCCCCCAGGACAGATGTCTGCCGAACACCGTGGGCCCCAGGCCACCCGGAAGCCCTGGGTTCTCGCCTATTGTCATGTTTCCTTCAAGTGCTGCCTGTGCCGGTGCTACAGCTCCTCATCCGAGATTCACATTCAAACCCCCAGAAAATTAAACGCTTTTTCATGGCTTTGCAGCAACCTCATTTGGTGGTAAAAGCTGATCCAAACCGATGTGACACTATTTATGGGAATTAGTGTGAATTTTGTATGTGTCTGCAGCAGAGATATTAATGTATTTGATTCCACATCTGCCCCAGACCCTGCTAAGGGTGTTCGTAGAATATATAGGGTGGGCACTACATTACTTTAAAAAAAAAAAAAGGAATATCTGAGTTTGGGGAACAAACCTGTTTCCAAAGTTAAAAATTAGTCAAGTTTTAAAGAATAAAAAAAATTTTTTTGAGGTCCATTTATTTTTGAGAGAGAGAGCATGAGTGGGGGAGGGGCAGAGAGAGAGGGAGACAGAATCTGATTCAGGCTCCAGGCTCTGAGCTGTCAGCACAGGGCCCGACACAGGGCTCGAACTCACGAACGCAAGATCATGACCTGACCTGAGGTTGGACGGACACTCAACCGACTGAGCCACCCAGGCGCCCCAAGGCTTAAAGGTTTTTTTTATTGAAGTTTAATTAACACACGGTGTCCTGTAAGTTTCAGGTGTGTAGCGAAGAGATTCGACGCTTCCATACAGCGCACGGCACTCACCACGGCGTGTGTGGTCACCACCTGTCGCCATACAGCGTTGGTACAATATTACGGACTGTATTCCCTCTGCTGTACTTCTCATCCCCGTGCCTTACTCATTTTGTAACTGGAGGTTTGCACCTCTACAACCCCTTTGGCTATTTTCCCCGCCCCCCACCCCCCCTCCTCCGGCCACCAGCAGACCTCTTGGTAGTTGTGTGCATTTAGGAGTCTGGTTTGGTTGTTGTTTCTTTGTTCACTTGGTTTGTTTTCTTAGATGCCACATAGGAGTGAAATCATAGGGTATTTGTCTTTCTCTGTCTGACTTCGTTCACGCAGCACAGTACTCTCTAGGTCCCTCCGTGCTGTTGTCAATGGCAGGACCTCATTCTTTTTCATGGCTCCGCCGGGTATAGAGACCCCTTCTTTATCCATTCTTCTGTGGATGAGCACTGGGGCTGCTTTCGTATCTTGCCTGTTGTAAATAACGCTGCAGCGAATGTAGCCGTGCAGGTATTTTCAGGTTAGTGTCTTTTTTCCTTTGGATAAATACTGGATCATCTGGTACTTCCAGCTTTGTTTTTTTTGAGGACCCTCCGGGCTGCTTTCCACAGCGGCCGTGCCAGTTTGCCTTTCCACCAACAGTGGGCGAGGACCCCCTCGGCTCCGCGTCCTCGCCAGCATGTGATATTTCTGGTTTTTTTGAGTCTGGCCATTCTGACAGGTGTGAGGCGGTATCTCATTGCGGCTTCGATTGGTATTTCCCTGACGATGCGTGATGTCGAGCATCTTTTCACGTGTCTGTTGGCCATCGATAAGTCTGGGTTGTAAGTATGTCTACCGAGGGGGGCTTAACTCACAGCGTGAGGCATAGATCTTTCCCGAGCGGCACAATGAACTCTGACAGATGTGCCGACCCGTGCTCCTGTCAGCCCACCAAGAGCGAGAACACATTCCGCCCCCCCCCGGCGAGCTCGCTCACGGTCCTTCCTAGTCAATCTCCATCACTACAAAACTGCTTTGATTTCTATCACCGTAGATTGTTTTTGCCTCTTCTGGAGTTTCATAGGATGGGAATCGCGCAATGCGTACCTCGTACTTCTGTGCATCTGGTGTTCTCAGCACGTGTCTGCCTCACGTGTCAGAAGTTCGCTCCTCTCCGCCGTGTTTCTATCTTCTGTTTCTCCTCTGTGGTGTCTTTCACTTGCTCTTCAGGTGGACGCTTACCTACGGACTTTAGGTCTTTGCTGGGGGTCCTGCTCTGCCTGGCGCAGAGCACTGCTGTCTCCGGTCTGCAGCTGTTTGGGGTAGAGGATCTTGAGGGTCGTGGGCCGGTCCACACGGGCCCTGAGCTCTGCCCTCTGCGGCGAGCTCCGGTCTCACTGACGTCCTAGCTACACTTCCCTTTCGTCTGAAAGCCCAGTCCTGTCCCCTGACCTCACTTTTGGGGTCTGCTGGATCAGTGCGTTCCCTCGTCCCCCGTTCCGGGTTGGGAATCTGCAGTTGTGTTAATCTGCACGTGCTGTGTGTCTTGCTTTTTTATTTTTTATTTTTATTTTATTTTATTTTTTTTTCAACGTTTATTTATTTTTGGGACAGAGAGAGACAGAGCATGAACGGGGGAGGGGCAGAGAGAGAGGGAGACACAGAATCGGAAACAGGCTCCAGGCTCTGAGCCATCAGCCCAGAGCCTGACGCGGGGCTCGAACTCACGGACTGCGAGATCGTGACCTGGCTGAAGTCGGACGCTTAACCGACTGCGCCACCCAGGCGCCCCTGCTTTTTTATTTTTTAAAAATTTTTTCAGTGTTTATTTTGAGAGAGAGAGAGAGACGGACAGACAGAGTGCGAGTGGGAGAAGGGCAGAGAGAGAGGGAGACACAGAATCCGAAGCAGGCTCCAGGCTCTGAGCTGTCAGCACAGAGCCCGACGTGGGGCTGGAACTCACGAACGGCGAGATCATGGCCTGAACCGAAGTCAGAGGCTTAACCAGCTGAGCCCCCTAGGTGCCCTGTTGTGTGTCTTGTTTTATAGATAAAGGCTATTGCTAATGGGGACTTGGGACCCAAAGAGCCACAAAAATTGGTGGGTCTGGTCGGATCCTTAAAAACTGGTAGAGCGCCCGTCACGGTGTTAGGACAAGTTGGTCACAGAACGGGTTAGGTTGACTCTAGGTCACCTGCCAACCTCAAGAAAATTTCCATACAATGAGCTGTGCTGTAAAACATGCACAGTCCCCAACCTAGCAGCACATCCCTCTTGGGTATTACTTGGCTCTGAGGAACCCCAAAGGCTTAGCTAAAAAAAAAAAAAAAAGCTCCTTAAGCCCCGAAAACTCAAGTGTGCTATCTTCTGTCATACCTGCTTATTTTACGTCTAAGAACTACGGTCCCAGAGCTATAAATATCTCCAAAAACGGCAAAATCTTAGTAAAAACAACCTAAAATTCCAATGGCCATTACGGAGGATGTTCAAATTAGGATTGTTTATTTCAGAAGTGGATTTGGAAACAAGGTTGCCCAAGATGACATGAACAGAATGGAATACTTAGTTTAATTATGATGCAGAAGCTTCCGAAAGGCTTCACGATTCCAGAAAAGCTCCATTCAAAGGTTCATTACCGAAAGCTAATGACAAATGAAAGACAGGTGCCCAAAACAAAAGGCAGGGAGCCTGACGCGACCCCTCCTGCTGGCTCCTTCCTCCCTGACCCGAGTCCTCATGCTTTGTGGACCCTGCAGACACAGTTACCTTTTGAAATAAACCCGCTGGAGGTCCAGGAGTCTCTCTCAGAGTCTTTTCCTCTTTGGTCAAAGGCCAAACTAAGGGCAATAGTTAAAGAGACTTCTAAGCCCAGAGAGGGTCCCCAGAAGCTTTCTGAAGAATTTAGAGTCCTTACCACGGGCTATGACCCAGGCTGCCAGGTCCACATCAGCATGTGCACCTGCTGGTGGGCCCAGGGGGCCCAGAAGCAGAAACAGAGGCAGGAGGGTGTCATCCGAGGATGCTATTTCAGAGCCTCAGTCTTCGACATGGTCCCCTCATGGGCCACAAAAGAAGCGACGACCTCTCCCAAGCGGTGCCCAGAGCCCGCCTGGCCGCACTCACTGGTCTGTTACTCAAACGTGCACACGAAAGACCGATCTGTGGCAGACTCTGAAGTCTGTCTGGAAGGGATCTTCCTACAGCATCCTGGGTTCCAGACAATAACGGAGGGCACCCAGCGTGTTCCAGCTTTTCCACTTGTAGGTGGATTATCTCCTGAGATTAGATCGTTGATAAAAAGGCAGAAAATCGGACGGGAGGCCCCCTGCCTGACTGAACTCATGACCAGAGCTGGGGACTTTACCGTAAACAAAGGTCCGCCAAGCTGTTGGCCTGAGGGCTGCAGTGGCCTCAAGGTCAGGGGCCTGGGGCGGCACCTGGGCCTCCCGGGCACCCCGAGGCGCTGCCCCAGGGATTGACGTCTCCACTGTCCCCGCAGGCCCCACGGGACTCGCCCACACCACCTCTCGGGTCCCCGTGCCCACCCCCGGGCCGGGGCCCCCCGTGGGCCTCCCAGGGCCGACGGGGATGGCAGGGTTCTCTGATCTCAGCAACCCCCTCCAGCAGCTGAGAGAGAGCCTAGAATTAAATTAGTGGGAAGCCTTGCCAAATTCGGGGACGTGCGAGAGCTACAGTCTCTCCTTAAACCCCGCTCCCCCAGGACAGCAAATCCCTCGGAGGAAGGTTTCCATAGTGAGGGCATCTGATCCAGTTTAGAGGGAGTTTCTGTCTCAGCCAGGGGCCTTTCCCTGGAAAACGCTCTCTTTTGTTGTGTGACCCAGGCCCTGACAACCTGTCCACCGAGACGTCCTTTCTAAATGCAAAGGGCCAGCTCACACGTTTTGCCTCCGCTGGAGACTTCGCCTTGGAATTTCCCGACCCACCCGAACCTTTTATGTTCTTTACAGTCTGTCCTTGACATACAAGAGGACAAACTGCAACAAAAGTCCCTTAATTTAACTGAGGTGCCTGCAAGCCTGTGGGCCGCCTCTCAGACTGACACTGGGAGAGTGAAAAAGGACAGAGTCTGTCAAGATCCAAACAGACATGGGGCGCCTGGGTGGCTCAGTCGGTTAGGCATCCGACTGGGCGTCCGGCTTCGGCTCAGGTCATGATCTCGCGGTCTGTGGGTTCGAGCCCCGCGTAGGGCTCTGTGCTGACGGCTCGGAGCCTGGAGCCCGCTTCGGGTTCTGTGTCTCCCTCCCTCTCTGCCCCTCCCCTGCTCCTGCTCTTTCTCTGTCTCTCAAAAAACACATAAATGTTAAAAAAAAAAAAAGATTCCAACAGACATAACTACACTTCTTCCCAAATTGCCTCAACCCCCATGAAACCTGAGGCTGTACAAGGCCTCGCACCGACGGCAGGGACCCCTGGTCGTCCAGGGGCTGATCGTCCCGCCCCAGCCCTGGGACAGGAGATCTTGCCCGCCCGCCCAGAAACCTAATGGACACAGTGGTGATTTGTCCAGGATTGAGGGCCGCTGACGAGACAGTTCCCCGTTTCCCAGTTGTTCCAAACCCGGACAGCGGACTCACAGGGGTTCGCTATTCAAAATGGTGGATTTGGCTCAGCTTCTCCAGCATCGCTGTGGACCCCGGCAGCCGATGTCAGTCAACAACATACCTGGACAGTTCCGTGAGGCCCCTTCTTATTTCTCCCGAGGGCCCCGTGGAGAGTGATTCACCCCAGGTGCCCGGGAGATGGAGCCTCTACAATGAGGAGAGAACGCCTTGCCGTGCTCAGCTCCCAACCAGATGTTCGTGAAGGATTCCATGTATTTGCTTGAGGGACATAAAGCCCCTAGAGAGAAATCGCAACGCTCTCTAGTCGCAGCTCCTGACCTAGGTCATGATCCAAGCGCTGACGGAACCCAGCTGTCCCCAGAAAGGATGAAACTGATCAGAGCATTTCCTGCAGGCACAGGACGAAGCCACAGCCTTGTGTTTGTCGAGGCCTGGCTGCCTGTCGCAGACCGCGGGCTCCTAATGTTTCTCCATCAGCTTTCCCACTCTCTGAACTTACTAAAATTCCAGTCCCTGGACCCATTCCTTGGGGGGGGGGTGGTAAACACGAGCAGGCTTTAGAGAACTTAAACAGGACCCCCCCAGGAATGACCCGCCTCAGGCCCATAGAACTATTCAAACCTTTCCCCGGTTTGTGCCAGAAAGAGACAACCAAGTCCTGGGGATGCTCACACACAACGTGGTGGGGAACACTGGCCTGTTGCTTACAGCCTGGTTCAGGCTCCCTTGCCGCCCCGACGGCCCACAGCCTCTCGCTGGGGCAAGTGAGTAGAAGCCTGAGCAGATCGAATGCCAGGACATGATGCTTATTTGCAGACCGCTGTTCATCCCGCCATGTTGCGGGATGTTTTCTTTCTTTAAAAAAATTTTTTTAAATGTTTATTTATTTCTGACAGAGAGAGAGGCAGAGAGAGAGGGAGACACAGAATCCGAAGCAGGCTCCAGGCTCTAAGCCGTCAGCACAGAACCCGACGCGGGGCTCGAACCCACAAACCGCGAGATCATGACCTGAGCCAAAGTCAGACGCTGAACCGACTGAGCCACCCAGGCGCCCCTCTTTTTAAAAAAAAAATATAATTTATTGTCAAGTTGGCTAACATGCAGTGTGTACAGTTGGTTTTGGGGGTAGATTCCCATGATTCACCACTTACATACAACACCCAGTGTTCATCCCAACAGGTGCCCTCCTCCCTGCCCAT